TAGTAGTAGTAGTAGTAGTAGTAGTAGTAGTAGTAGTAGTAGTAGTAGTAGTAGTAGTAGTAGTCATACAGCATGATACATACATCATGCAACATCATGCATCATACAACCTGCTCCATACATCATATATCATCATGCATCACACAACGTGATGCATTCAACATACATCATACATCATACACCATTTAACTCCATCATCATATATCATATATCATCATACATCATACACCATCATTCATCATACACCATGATATATTCAACATACATCACCATGCACCATACAACATTATACATGCACCATACACCCTCACGCATCATACAACATTATACATACACCTTACAATCGTGCATCAGACAACAGTACACATACACTATACACCAGCATGCGTCATACAACATTGTACATACACCATACATGACCAACCATCATACATCATCAAGCATCATACACCATCAAACATCATACGTCACCAAACCCCATGCATCATCAAACATCACGCATCATACAACATCACACATCATCGAACATCATACATCATACATCATAATACACCACCAAATACCATCCATCATATTACATCATCATACAATATCGTACACCATACACCATACATCATGATGCACCATCAAACACAATACATCATACTACATCATCAAACACCATCAAACACCGTACATTATACATCATCATACATCATCAAACATCACGCATCGCATTACATCGCACATCATCAACAATCATACAACAAACAGCAAACCTCATACATCATCAAACACCATACATCAATCACCAAACTTCATACACCATCACACATCACACATCATCAAACACCAAACATCACAAATCATACATCATCAAACATCAACCATCATACACAATCAAAACATCAAACATCAAACACCAAACATCATCAAACACCCATTCGTCATCAAACATCGAACATAAAACATCAAACCTCATACATAATCAAACATCAAACATCAAACAGCGCACATCAAACACCAAAAATCATTAAACATAGAACATCAAACATCATCAAACATCAACAAACATCAAGCATCAAACATCAAACATCATCAAACATACATTATACATCATCAAACATCAAACATCATACATCAAACACCAAGCACATTAAACATCATACATCAAACACCAAACATCACTCAACATCAAACATCAGACCTCAGACATCAGACGCCATTACCCACCGTACATCTTACACAACCAAACACCAGACATCAATCATCATACATTATCATACATCATCATACATCACCATACTTCACCATACATCACCAAGATCATCATACATCATCGCGCACCATCATACATCATCATACAGCATCATACACCATCGTACATCATCATGCATCATCATACATCATCATACATCAGCGTGCATCATACATGAAACACCCACACCGACACCCACACCCACACCCACACCCACAATCTCCTTTTTTTTTTTTGCTAAAGCCGTTGGAAACGCGAAGCCTCCATCACCACCCTTAAGTCGTCTCACGGACGAACTGCCCGGCCACCATCCCCCGGTCAGCCCTAGTAGTACTAGTAGTAGTAGTAGTAGTAGTAGTAGTAGTAGTAGTAGTAGTAGTAGTAGTAGTTGTTGTTGTTGTAATACTACTAGTAGGAGTACGACTAGTACTAGTACTAGTATTAGTACTAGTACTAATACTAGTACTAGTACTAGTACTAGTACTACTAGTACTAAGTACTAGTACTAGTACTACTAACTAGTACTAGTACTAGCTATAGTAGTAGTAGTAGTAGTAGTAGTATAGATAGTAGTAGTAGTAAGTAGTAGTAGTATTAGTAGTACTAGTAGTAGTAGGAGTAAGAGTAGTAGTAAAGTAGTAGTAAGGAGTAGTAGTAGTAGTAGTAGTAGTAGTAGTAGTAGTAGTAGTAGTAGTAGTAGTACTACTACTAGTATTACTACTACTACTACTACTACTACTAGTACTAGTACTAGTACTAGTAATAGCATTCGTCCAACCCCACCTGTGGGAGGACAGTCCCGACTTAAATTGAGCCCCCCTCCTCCTCACAGTCACGCTCCATGCCGCAAGGAAGCAAAAAGGTGGGCCCGCCGCGACCGCCTGGCCCCGGGTGGGCGACCCAGGCCCTCCTGGAGGGCCCTCCGCCCAGACGCCATCACCACCACCGTCAACAGCGCCGTCGTTAGCAGCCCTGCTCCTTCCCTCGGGCTTGTCGACTTTTCGCCAATCGACTTGTGGGGACCGAGCCTGATAAATCCAGGTAAATGGCAGATACATCGAAATAACTCCCGTTGAATCCAGGTAAATCGGGAGAAATCCAGGTCATTCCAGGTACATCCAGAGATCCCCAGGGAAAGTCGGAGCATCTCGCGGCCGCTCCAGCGCGAGTCGAAGGGCGGCAGAAGTCGTGAAGCCTTCCACGACTCCCGGCGGCGGTCCCTGGCGCGGGGGCGCTGCAGCCGCGGGCGGCGCATGCTTCATGCTCCACTCGTGGCTGCTGCTGCGTCGCCGGGCCAACCTGCCACGCAGCATCGGCGGTCGACGTCGTCGTGACCACCATCACCTCCGTCATCATCACCGCCACCATGGCCGCCCTCGTCACCGCCCCCCTCGCGGCTCCTGCCCCGCTCCCCCGCTCTTCCCCCGCTGGCCACCCCGCTCGCCGCCCCCGCTGGCGCCCCCCCCCTCGCGGCTGTCGCTGCCGCCGCGCCTTGGCCGCTCTGGCTCCGAAGGCCTTTGTGTTTCAGTTTTGAGCTCCGGGTGCCCGACCTGGCTCCGTCGGCGGCGCTGCGCCAACAAGGTCCCGCTCCTCTCCCCTATCCCCCCCCGCGAGACCCAGGCGCTGCAAACTTTCTCACGGCGGGCGCCTTCGCCCCCTTCGGGCCCGGGGGCCATCACGGATCGATCCGCCTCGGAACGTGCCGCAGGCCAGTGAGGTCTTAGGGCTCTGGTCGTGATATATCGCGATGTTGTTTTTTTGGCAGCGTCGGAGTCCACGGTGCTCCCCGCCTTTCGCGCAACTGTGTCGGGGCTGCTTCCCCCGCGGGCTTCGTGAGGGGCGCTCGGGAAGCCACCTGGGCTTCCCTTGTTGGGGCCACCTTCGGCCAGGGCCTGGGCGTTTTTGTTTCGAGGGTGTTTATTGTTTTTTCTTTCCCAATCTCTCTTTCTCTCTCTTTCTCTTCGCGCGTGTGTGTGTGTGTTTGTGCGCTCCCTAAACAGCTTGATTGTAATGGCTCTATACCAGTTTTCGAAGAATCCAGTAGGTGCGCTGCCAGATCCGGAGTCGGTCGGGCGACGTTGTTTACCATTGTCTCCCGCTGTCTCCAATGTCTCCCGTTGTTTCCCGTCGTCTCCCAGTGTTTCTGATTCAAGTGTCTCCCGTTGTCTCACACTGTCTATCCCTGTCCGTACCCCTATGTTCATTCCTATCCTTGCGCCTCTGTCCCTGCCCTTTTTTACCCAATTCCCTCACCCTGCATACCTATGCCCATCCATATCCCGATTCTTACCCCCATCCGTATATAGTTGTTACTCTTCTCGCCCTGCTCGCTCCCTGCCGCACTTGCATCGTGCTTACAGGACACGACGCACACAGTGCGGGCACCGCGGTCCCGTCTCCGCGCGCGTGAAAGGAGTGAGGGTCGTCGTCGTCGTCGTCCGTCCTCTTCCCTGTCCTGTTTTATTGCAATCACTGGTCCACAGCTTAACGGACTATTGCGTCACAGGAAGCATGTCTGATATATACCCATCATGGGCGATGATATCGATACGTAAGCATTGCCATCATATCCCATGTTTGCCGGAAACCGTATTTTTCGGGCGAGTGATTTTTATATTTATACCGCAAGGGCTTCGCCCCCTGCCGCTGGCCCCCTCTCTCGGAGAATGGGCAATGGAAGAGCGAAGTCATGAGGCTGTGGCTTCACCGTGAAGCAGCGTCGGGACTTCATGCGATGGCGATTGGTAATTGGCAAGACGAGTGGAGATTGCGAGTCTATTGTTGTAGCCGTTGTTGTATGAATTTCAAATATGTGGCAAATCCCTTTCGTTTTTGGACCCTGACCCCGCCGATCTGCGTGAGGGGTGCCACCGAGTTCGAAAACATGTGTTATCCTCTGTGTTTTTGGACCCTGACCTTGTCGATCCGCGTGAGGGGCGCCACCGAGTTTCAGAAATGTTAAGAATCCCCTGGGTCTTCGGACCCTGACCCCGCCGATCTGCGCGAGGGGCGCCACCGAATTTCACAAATGTGGCAAATCCCATGTGTTTTTGGACCCTGACCCTGCCGATCTGTGTGAGGGGCGCTACCGGATTTCAGAAATGTGGCAAATCCCATGTGTTTTGGGACCCTGACCCCGCCGATGTGCGCGAGCGGAAACTGGAAACTGCAAGGGGCGCAGGAAACTGCGAACCTTCGCCCTGCAGCCTGGTGCCCCCGCAAGGGGGCCGGCGGATAGGAACTGTACGTTTCCATTCCCATCCCAATCCATCGTGGCCACCATCGTGACCCTTCATCGTGACCCCCATCGCCGCTGTGCGAACAGCTGCTTAGGGCCTTTTGCCGCAGGGGTGCCGTGCGTTTTCTTTGTCAATGCGTGGGCACTGCAAGCACACTGTTTCATTCCGCGGACGCAAGCACGCAGGCGCTGCAGACGCGAATTGCGACGCAGGAAGGAGGGCGCAGAAGAGGGGGGCGCGAGGGGGGCGGAGGGGGAGGATGGGAGCGCGCAGAGAGTCGCCCACGAGGCCGGACGTAGAGCCAGAGCCAGGGACACCCAGGGAAACCACAAGCCCACCCGGGGAACACATCTCGGGCGTGGCCCCGGAGAAGCATGCCCGCCCAGTTTCTGGGCCCTGTTTGCCCGGTCGGCTTCCGTCTCGTCGTGGGCGTCGTCGTCGCCGTCGCCCCCCCCCGTTCCCCGTGCCTCTGCTCGTCCTGGCCCTGCCCCTGCTCCCCCCCGTTTTCCGTAGTCCTTTTGGTTCAAAATGTATGTGTCCCCTGGGCAGGAAGTGAACTTCTAGTCCGAGGCTAGTAGACCCTGACGTCTCTGTGAGCTCCTGTCGGAACAACCTCTTCTGTCTCGCACCCGCACTGACGGCCGCGGGTAAACTGAAAAATGCCCAGTTTTTGCGGGCGCCAGTGCAGTTTTGTTCCTCATGGCAGGTGATCATGACAGGAAGGAAAAGAATGACAGTGATATCAAGACGCCTGCCAAAGGAGAGGCCCGCACCCCGACTCGGCACGCGCGCGATCGGGCTCCTATTCTGTCTGCTGATGGCATGTCCGATGTATCGCCCAGGTCTTCCGTGCCCGCGACTCCGCGCCACCGTCCCGGCGGTCGGGCTGCTGGCTCTCGAGCCTCTCGCGACGGCGCTGAGGCAGCGGGGACTCTTGGGCAGAGTTCGCATCGATCCAGGAAAAAGCGTGGAGGCCTGCCCCCTGGCGGCTCGCAGGAGGAGCGGGCCCGCTTTTTCGCCGCCGCTGCTGCCTTGCGGGCGTCGGACTTTCTCGAGCTGGACGCGGCGCCCGCGTTCCCGTCGCAGGAGTTGGCCTGTGCTGAGGAACCCCATGGTGCCGCGGCAGCCGCTGGCGGTAGTTTGGCTGCGGCCCCTGTGGGCCCACTGCAGTGGCCCCTCCATCCGAGTTCTGGCAGCGGTGGTGCGCGTCATCATCTGGCTGGCCGCTGGCGTGGCGGGGGTCCCGCTGGCGACGGTGCCACTCGTGTGCTAGGCGCCGCTGCTGCCTCGAGCATTGGAAGTGGTGGCCTTGGTGGCCCACGGCTTGATCCCTGGGCTGGCTCGCTGCCGCACTCGGAGCTCGACGTCTCCAAAAACCAGCTGCTCGACGAGGTTCATGGCACCGTCAAGGAGGTTGCGGACTCCATCGTCCGTCGGCGGCCCCATGGCGTCATCGAGCCGCTTCTCAACAAGTTCGGCGAGACGCTGCAGCGGCGGTTCGCGGCCAGTGGTCGACGCATGCAGAGTCTTGACCAGCGATGTGATGCCAATGGTCGGTTTCGCGTTCAGCTCGAGGAGCGGACGGCGACGCTCGGGAAGGAGCTCGACCTTGCCAAAGCCGCCCCTAGGGCGACTGGGCTCGCGCCGCAGACCCTGGGATCTTCACGGCGTTTGCGAGGGAGGACGTGGCTCGGGCCACGGTGGAAGCTGCGCTTCGGGATTGGCCGGCAGGGGCCAGCTACACCATGGGCGAGCACTTCCACATCGAGGGTGGGCCGCTGGCGCAGATACGCGCTGACGGTTTTCTGAACATAACTCGAGCTTCAGGGCAGCTACAGAGCTGGCAAGCACACCTATCGCATTCAGAATCATCAGGCGCGCTCGTCTGTTGAATCCAGAGGTCTGAACTCGGTCTGCTAGCCGAGCTAGGTCTGCAAACCTATTCGTATTATTCAAATCATCTTGACAGGAACTCTCGGTTTTTTTGTACTTAACTCGAGCTGTAGGACAGCTACAGAGCTGATATTTACAGGCACCAATTCAGAATCATCAGTTGCGTTTGTCTGTCGAATCCAGAGCTCTGAACTCGGTCTGCTGATGTCCCGGGCGCCGAGCGCGCTGTTTTTGGCTCATGGGGAGCGCTCGGGCCTCGTTGCGTCACCAGTCGATTTCCGTGGCGCGCAAGGCGGGGGCGCCGCGGCCACCGCTGGGCTCGCCCGCCATGTTTGCTGCGCAGGAGGACCATGGGGCGGGGAACGCCGTCTCAATACTTCTTGGTCGGCTTTGCTGCGATCTGAATGTTTCGGCGTTCCGCCCGCTGCCGCGACGCGCGCGGGCGGGGCGCGCGCTTTGGCCCCGAGGGCTGCGATGCGGATGGTCAGAATTTCGCCTCGGGCATATCCCTCGGGCGGGGCCCTGATGCTTGAGATCGCCCGCGTGCTCGGGGCCTTCCGCCGGCCCCGTTGGAACGTCCACGTCTGCGATCTGGGGCGCAGTGACTTTGCCGAGGTCCGATCCGCCATCCTTGCCCAGATTGATGTCGGGGGACGAAATCTATACATATCCACTGCTCCCTGGCCAGGCCCATCCTGAACCCAGGAGCTGTGTATACGCCCTCCTGGCCAGACCAGGAGGGCGTGGCGTATGCGCAGCTCCTGCGTTCAGGATGGGCCTGGCCAGGGAGCAGTGGATACGTATGGATTGTGTCGCCCTAATTGATGTTATTAGATCCGCGCCCTTCGCCGGCTGTCTCATCCTGATCGGCGACTTCAACGTCGCCGATGACATGATCGAGTCGGCCGCCGCTGGTCTGGGGCGTCGGCGTTGGCAGCCGACCCCGCCGTCGGGCCCGTCGGGCGGGCCCTCCTCTCGGGCCAGCCCTGGCTCGATGGGCGAGCCGCTGCGGTCGGGGGCTCGCCCTTATATAGAAGGCCCTCTTGCTCGCCCAGGGCATCAGCCGCCTCCGCGGGGCGGAGTGGTCGGCGCTCAGCGACCGGGGCTTCGCAGTCACCCCCCCGCGGATGGTGCGCCAGCTGCAGCAGCGCGCGAGGCAGAGGAATTGTTTCGGGCCGACATCTCGGACCGCGCCCCGCCCCGCACCGATTGGGGCCTCACCGGGGGCATCCCACATGAAAACAAATAGGGCCACTGGGTTCCAGCGGGGGGCCTTCCAGATGGCATCCAGCACGAGGCTTATTTGCATCCAATAAGAGGCCTTCCCATTGGACTCCAATAAGAAGGTTGTCGGGGGATCAAGCTGGACCTCATTGGAACCCAATGGGGCTCTTATAAAAGTCAAATTTCTGGCGGCCTCTCGGCCTTGGGCGCCCCCGAGGTCCAACGTCTCGCTGCAGGGCGGGCGGGGGTGGGGGCGGGGGCGGGCGGGGGGGGGGTATCCGAGTTCCCGGCGCGCCCCCCGAGATTCTGGGGTTTCCATATTTGCCTTCGGCGGCCTCAAAGCTTCGAGTATTGTCGGTATGGGAGGGCTACAGTATCCTTGAGGAGTGTTATAGCAGTCTCACGGAACCATATAGGAAGTATATGGGAGTCGTATAGGATTCCTACGGCATGCTGTGGCAGTCCTACGAAATCCTATATTGAGGGTGCGGGAGGACTACAGGACCCCCACGGGATGTTCAAACAGCCGTGCCAAACACAAATTATAGGAGACGTGCGTGACTGTTATAGGATCCTTACGGGATGCTGGAACAATCCGATATAATCCCATAGGAGGCGTGCAGGACTGCTTCAGGATCCCAGCACGGTGCTATAGCAGTCCCACGGAATCCAATAGGATGGTACAGGATTGCTATAGAATCCCTAAGGAATGTGATGGCAGCCCGACTGCATCTTATGGAAGGAGCACGGGAGTGCGGTCGGATCCCTACGGGATGCTATAGCAGTCCTACGGAATCCCATGGGAGTGGTGTAAGAGGGCTACAGGACCCTGCGGGATGCTGAATGAGTCTTACGGAATCCAGTTGGAGGGGCATGGGCGTGCTATTCAGTCATTACGGGATGCCATAGCAGTCCTGCGGAATCGTTTTTTTTTCCCCCCCCCCAACCATCCTGTGGTGTTGGGTCCTCGTTTTGAAGAGACAGCGCCCCGCGTTCACTCCTCCTCCCGCTGCCCCCTCCCTCCTGCCATCATCATCATCATCATCATCATCACCATCATCATCATCATCATCATCATCACCATCATCATCATCAGCAAAAGCAGCCACTTCGGCACACCCCTCACACGTTTCGTGGCCCCATAGGGAGCTCCACCGAAGGCCCCAGTGGCTGCGCCCCCATGCGCCCACCGCACCCATTTCGGCACACCCCTCACACGCTTCGTGGCCCCATAGGGAGCTCCAGCGAAGGCCCCAGTGGCTGCGCCCCCATGCGCCCACCGCACCCATTTCGGCACACCCCTCATACGTTTCGTGGCCCCATAGGAGCTCCCGAAGGCTCCGCGAAGCCCCAGTGGCTGCGCTCCCATGCGCCCACCGCGCGGATTTCGGCACACCCCTCACACGTTTCGTGCCCCATAGGGAGCTCCACCGAAGCCCCAGTGTTGCGCTCCCATGCGGCCCCGCCCATTTCTGCACACCGCCTCACACGCTTCGTGGCCCCATAGGAGCTCCAGCGAAGGCCCCAGTGGCTGCGCTCCCATGCGCCCACCGCACCCATTTCGGCACACCCCTCACACGTTTCGTGGCCCCATAGGGAGCTCCAGCGAAGGCCCCAGTGGCTGCGCTCCCATGCGCCCACCGCACCCATTTCGGCACACCCCTCACACGTTTCGTGGCCCCATAGGGAGCTCCACCGAAGGCCCCAGTGGCTGCGTTCCATGCGCCCACCGCACCCATTTCGGCACACCCCTCACACGTTTCGTGGCCCCATAGGGAGCTCCACCGAAGGCCCCAGTGGCTGCGCCCGCATGCGGTTCCACCCCCCATTCTGGCACACCCCTCACACGTTTCGTGGCCCCATAGGGAGCTCCACCGAAGGCCCCAGTGGCTGCGCCCGCATGCGGTTCCACCCCCCATTCTGGCACACCCCTCACACGTTTCGTGGCCCCACAGGGAGCTCCACCGAAGGCCCAGTGGCTGCGCTCCCATGCGCCCACCGCACCCATTTCGGCACACCCATCACACGTTTCGTGGCCCCATGGAAGCTCCAGCGAAGGCCCCAGTGGCTGCGCTCCCTTGCGCCCACCCACCCATTTCGGCGCACCCCTCATACTTTCGTGTCCCCATAGGAGCTCCACCGAGGCCCCAGTGGCTGCGCTCCCATGCGCCCACCGCGCAGATTTCGGCACACCCCTCACACGTTTCGTGGCCCCATAGGGAGCTCTACCGAGGGCCCCATTGGCTGGCCCGCATGCCCCCCCCACCCATTCGGCACACCCTTCACACGTTTCGTGCCCCATAGGGAGGTTACGGAAGGCCCCAGTGGCATGCCTCCCCACCACCCATTTCGGCACACCCCTCACACGTTTCGTGGCCCCATAGGGAGCTCCACCGAAGGCCCCAGTGGCAGGGTCGCATGCCTCCCCACCACCCATTTCGCACACCCCTCACACGTTCGTGGCCCCATAGGGAGCTCCACCGAAGGCCCCAGTGGCCTGGTTCGTATGCCTCCCCACACCCATTTCGGCACACCCCTCACACGTTTCGTGGCCCCATAGGGAGCTCCACCGAAGGCCCCAGTGGCTGGGTTCGCATGCGCCCCCACACCAATTTCGGCACACCCCTCACACGTTTCGTGGCACCATAGGGAGCTCCACCGGAGGCCCCAGTGGCTGCGTTCGCATGCCGCCCCCACACCAATTTCGGCACACCCCTCACACGTTTCGTGGCCCCACAGGGAGCTCCACCGAAGGCCCCAGTGGCTGCGTCCGCATGCCGCCCCCGCACCAACTTCGGTGCACCCCTCACACGTTTCGTGGCCCCATAAGGAGCTCCACCGAAGGCCCCAGTGGCAACGTTCGCATGCCGCCCCCACACCCATTTCGGCACACCCCTCACACGTTTCGTGGCCTCATAGGGAGATCCACCGAAGACGGTACTCACACCAGCATTACTCACAACTGCATACGGTTGGGTCCTTCCCCCGTTTTTTTGTTTTTTTTGTTGTTGTTGTTTTTTTTTGTTAAAAAATGATGGGTATATGAGTCTGTCCCAATCCATACGGATCAAATGATTCCGGCCAGAAGTCAAGTGTAGGCTGATCGAAGTGTGCATTCGGTTCTCACATACCTGTACGGACGGCCCAACACAGGTACTGGCCATAGCGAACGTGCGGTCTTATTATTTCTAATAGTCGAATTTCTACTACCATTCTTGCTACTGCTGCTGCTACCACTACTACTACTACCAGCATTATTATTATTATTACTACTACTACTACTACTACTACTACTACTACTACTACTACTACTACTACTACTACTACTACTACTACTACTACTACTACTACTACTACTACTACCTCTACCTACTACTACCTACCTACCTACCTACCTACCTACCTGCCTGCCTGCCTGCCTGCCTGCCTGCCTGCCTGCCTGCCTGCCTGCCTGCCTGCCTGCCTGCCTGCCTGCCTGCCTGCCTGCCCTGGCCTGCCTGCCTGCCTGCCTGCCTGCCTGCCTGCCTTCCTGTCTGCCTGCCTACCTACTTCTACCTACTACAATTACTACTTACTAATACTACTACTACTACTACTACTACTACTACTTATACTACTACTACTACGACTAATACTTAGTCTACTACTACTACTCTACTAATTACTTCGGACTACTGACGACAACGATTATACTACTACTACTACTACTACTACTACTTCACTACTACTACTAACTACTGCTACTACTAACTACTACTACACTCACTACTATACTACTGACTACTACACTACTACGAACTACTATTACTACTACTATTACGAACTACTAATACACTACTAACTACTACTACTACTACTACTACTCCTCAACTACGACTACTACTACTACAACTACTACTGAATCCTAAACACTACGACTACTCCTACCACTACTACTACTACTACTACTAATACTAACTACT